TGTAGTTATTAATAAAATTAGCTTTCACTAATTTAATTTTTCTGGTCAAATAATTCATTATTATTTTTGGTACATAAAATGTATGGTAATGTTAATTAAATGTGGTTGTGTGGTAGTATAATGTTTTAGTCGTTGGTACTAACTTGCAAACTTAACAAGTTGCAACTGAACTTGTCTTTTGAGAAAATGTCTCCAGGATATGTATAATGTATCCTGCAGTTTCTTTGGGCCATTTATTTATTGACGAGTGCCTTTGTAATATATACTAGTAATAATTCATGCGCACATATATGTTATATAAAAAATAGTATAAAATTTACATATAAAAATAATAACTAAAATAAAAAGTTATTTATAATAATAATATGTATCAGATTTATAATTGAATTGCTACATTAACTACTTCTAGTCGAATTTTTAGATTTCAATCAAAAAGAACAATATATATGTGTAAAATACATATATTTATTATTATTATTATTATGTGAATTAATGAATAATACAAGTTATATACTTTAAGAATTATATTAATAATAGTCATAAAAGTACCCCTAAAGTGAAAAAACAAATGAATTTCAAATGAGAAATATCAATCTTATGTACCATATATGTTAATCTTTCTTAGAGAATTATTGAATAAAGTATATTCTTAATATAATTATATTTAAAATACATGTACAATTTGGATTGTTTCATCTAATAATTATGTACCTGTAATTTGATACTTATGTGCACAATTTTTTTTATTATAAATTATGGTCATAAAATATGACAAATTACTTGTAATAATTAGAATGTGAGATTTTTTCTTACACTAATATGTAGACGAAAACTAAAAAACAGTTGCATTCAACCAATAGACAATAATGTGTAAAATTTGTGTACGTGCAAACAATTACAAAGTCAATTTAGAATGAAAATTATTGTAGTAAATTATTATTATTTAGGTGGTCGATATCAGGACCATCTATGCTCGACCGCCTAGTACTTCGACCCAGTCTTCTGTAAAGTTGGGATCTGTCGGATCTTCCAAGATTCTTGTGGTCGTGGCCTCTGCCTGCTACCGGTCAGCATAGACTCCGTTCGACCAGACCAATTTATTCGATTTATTCCCCTCCCATCAATTAGACCGGTCTAATGTATAATATCCTATATCAGTATGAATCCCAACATCGAGTCGATTACTTGAGGAAGGTGATTCAGAATTTTGAATCTGTGTCGATTACACACGAAAAAAAAAATGATAAACACCCTAATCACATATGGTTTGAAGAGTTGTATAAGACTATCAAAAATTAGAGAAGCAAATAAATAATAATAATAAAATAAATAAAGAAATAGAAGAAAGTCTAGGACGTCAAGAATATATAATCTCATCAAGTCCTAAATATATGATGAATGCATATTTGTTTAGTTATGTGATTCAACAAGCTTGCACGTCTGGAGATATATCCTCAACAACTATCCGCAACATGAGAACAAACATACACGACACATTCATCAACTCTGCTGACAAATAGACGATATCGTTATGAAAAATAGTCATTGGAATTGTCATTGAAATTTTATTTGAATATATTTTCGTTGGAACTTCATCATTTTCCTGTAGTGTATATAATTGTTACATGGCAGTATGACTGCAATGTGACAAACTTAACTATTAAAACAAATTATAACGAATCAATCAGTATAATAATTTGAATGCTCACAAAATAAGTTAACCAAAAAAATCTAATGAAATCAGGAGAAGCATATACACCCGCACGTTTTCTGTTTATGCATACAGCAACATCTTCTCTATCTCATTGCTTTGGCTGCAATTTTTATCTCAATGATTGGGTTGACATTATCCCTTCATTAAGAATCTAACAAAATAATCTAATCAACAAATGCATACAAATAAGTCAATTCCAATATGGGACAAATGACAGATAGCACACCTAATTAATAATATTCACGTGAGGCCCATCCAAAACCTTAATTTTCATCAATCATTTGCCAATCTCTGATATCTTTTGTTCTCATTTATATAGTAATAGTATGTACGTGGCTGATTATTCTATTAGGTCCAAGTGATGGATGATAATAATAATTGTTATAACAGTCATGTGAGCCTTCTCCTTTTCATTTGATTTGATATTCGAAGCTTCCTAATAAAACTCTACCATCATATAATTATATTATTTTATGAAACTGAAATCAATACACCGCATTTGAATTTTCAAACAAATATATATACTCAGGAAAGGACATCAACTCGTTTTGAATCGTGGAAACGTAATATATTGATCCGCACCTTACTATATAGGATTAATCTATTTATAACATTTTCTGAAATCTTTAAGATAATGCGTACAACATATATGTGTAACAGTTTTGCGATGGAGCCATTGGATGGCTCGGCTTATGGAGTCATCCACACTTATTCACCAATAGTGTATTGACACGTGTGCAATAAATACAAATTGAACAGGTGTCGATACATTAAGTGGTGGATGGCTCTATAAGAAAACCATCCGATGACTCTATAGAATTTTTGATATGTGTAAATAAGAGGGTTGGACAAACAAGATATAATGGTAAGATAATTGATTTTTTTTTCTCTTATAAATATTGTTGTGATAAGTGTTACAATTTGGTTCGAACATACCGTTACAAAAAAAAACTGTCATATTCTAGTGGAAAATTCTACGGTAATCCAATGAAAATTTCAACGGGTATTCCAATAGTATAATTTTTGTTGAAATGAGTTTGCCATTTAAATATATATGGAATTTGTTGATTCAAATGCCTAATTTTCTAATGGTTTTTTATCGTAGAAATTTCAGTTGAAATATGCAATTTTCGTTGAAAATTTTATTTTCACCCATATTTCAACAGTTGAAACATCAACGCTGGAATCGACAAAATCCAAAGAAAATTCTAATGGAAAACCCTGCACCACCCCCACATAAATAGATCTATGTTTAGAATATAAAATATGTATCTTCTAAAATATAGTTGTAATTATAACATTATAACTATACTATTATTATTTAAAGGAGTTGGGGCGAGTCCGATCGTAGTCCCCATCCTATCGAACCCTATCGAACCGTATCGAGTCGTGGGCCAGAGGGGACGGAAGGCTGCGGGCCATGTCTATTGCTATCCCTATTTTGTATGAGATAGTAATTTAAAAACAAAAGAAAAAAAAAAAATATTAAAAACG